CGTAACGCAAGTTACGGCAACAGTAGGACCTTGGATCCGCGAGGTGATATAGGGTGTGGACGGGAACATTATTGGCGGGTGACAGAAAGTGATAACAGTTGATAAGATCCGATAAGGGGTCTCGGAAGAGGATGATCACCAAATACGTAACGCAGGTTACAGCAACGGTGGGAGCGTGATTTCGAGAAGTGATTTAGGGTGATATGATAGTGATATGGGACGCTACTGATCAGTCCTTTTCGCGGCACGCATACCACTTCCATTCACGGTCGTAGTGGCTTATTGAATGCGATGTGGCCTATACAATGACTTGCGGTGGCCAGCCGATGTACAAGTCAGTGTTTTATCCTCCCAGACGAATCTGGTACCAATTTACCGTCCCCGGAGGAAAGAAGGCTTGGTTGGCCTGGGCGGGTGTCGACCTGGGATTCGAACCCAGGACCGCGCGAGTGGTAAGCGCGCCACTTGTCACTACTACACCACCTCCGCCTCCATTTCTGCATAACTCCTTTTCAAAGAAGGTGGAAAGAAGAAGGCATCAATGACGAAGACAGAATGGCACTCCTGGCTTGCTCATACGCTCAGCAGTGGGCGTGCTTTTGAGGTGCAGCGGATTCGCCTTTATTACAACGATGCCACAAACACGGCAGTGGAAAGAAAGAGGAAGTTTCTATTCACCAAGAACAGGAGAGGAATCTCACTAGAAGTAGAGGAAAAGATGCATCCGGCCTTCATGCAACCCTCGGGATTTGGCCTAGAAATTCCATTCATGTGTACGCTTCGTCCTCCTCGTATTTGCGTCTTCCTCTGGGCCTGGTTTACAGTCTTTTCTATAACAACCGATGAGAAGGTTGTTGATCTTACCATTAGAGAAGCCTCACGCCATTCAACCATTTGCAATAAAAGGTAAGGCCCGGGAGAGGTCCGATTCACCATTTGAATACCACTCGCCTGACTCCTTGAGTTAAGTAGGAAGCTGACGCCAAGTACTGAGCTCAAGCAAGATTTCAGTGAAGCTTCCGCTTTTCTAGAAGTACTCTCGCATTGCATAATCGCTGTGAAGTCGCAGAAACCACGCTTATGTGGAGGAACTAATCCGGCTGACTCTGCTCTCCATCATTCATGCGTGTATTGGCGTAACCAAACAGCTTTCACATGACGTTGCTTCCAGATAAAACGGCCATCGGTTGTGCCTGCTTATGGTATCGGGTGCGACCTAGTGTGGTCGGATCCAGCCCTCCATCGAGACGGATGGGTGCTGAGCCATCGAGGTAGGACTTCTCGCCACTGTATATACCGCCTCGTTCGCTGTGGATGCTGAGCCGTGTCAGCTTCCACATTTGATGGAAAAATGGCCGTCGTTGTGCAAACCCAGCCCCTCTCAAACGCCCCAGCATCCGCAGCGAACAAAACTGCGTTCTGATGCTGTTTATGTGCATTACTCCCTTTTCAGGTATTTCATTTCTGTTCGGACCGAAGGCGGTGGAAGACTTTTGTGCCAAGTACAATCTTGATATTATACTACGTGGGCACCAAATTAGCAATGAGGTAACCACTGTCTACAAACGCCGCACCAGAAACTGTGATATTCAAGTTTTGAATAGTACCCGACTCGGCACAAACTGTACGCCTATTCCCACTTGACTATTGAAGCTCGGCTTTTCTCTGTATACATGGTTAGGATGGGTGTCATCAGACTTCGCTGCACACCGCACGCCCCTCCATCTTGAAGTCTCGTATTCCTAGTGGCAAAGAAGTGTGTCGAAATGGCTATCCCTGCACAAGCCGACGCAAGGCGTAACCACATCTTTCAGCGTGATAATTCTATTTGTAGAGGCAAAGAAGTGTATCGAGAAGGCTATCCCAGCACAATCCGACAGAAGGCATAGGCACATATCTCGGCGCGATAACTTATGTTTATCGCTAAAGTTTGCGGGATGTGACTGATGCGCAACATCCGCATCACAAACCTGTGCGAAAATGAACGTACCTTAGCGTAGGAGCTCACAAGAGCAGTTGAGATAATTCTGCACATACGTGACCCATAAAGTCCCATTTTAATCCCAGTTTGTACGGTAACACTACGCTCTCATCCATACAGCCAATTCTACGATAGGAACTCTATTACCGTACAAGCGTTTCATGTTTTTTCTTCCTGAATCTTCGTTTTTCACTAAAAGACGGGCCTTTAAAGGCAGTTGGCACGATGGTTTCCTACTTAGCCTAAAATGCTAGTAGGGCGCTGTATAGTGGGGAAATGGCGAAAGAACGGAGTGAAACGGTCAAAATCCTGCGAAGAAAAAGCCTCCGTTCTCAGTGACTTGTAAATCGATTTCGGACGAGTTTCCCGTAGGCATCTTACCAATCACCGCTACCGAAGCTGCATATGTGTACCCATATATGCATGCAGCATCACGGCCGCTTCATACCAATCCCTTCGCTTCATAATTTGCTTAGCAAATGAATCGATTAGAGCGTCAGGAACGGTCGTCCATTTGTGGGCGGGCGGGCGTGGCGGGCGTTTGGGTCGGTATGTTGTGGCTTGATAGGGCCCTTATAAGGGCACCTCCCTTGGAAAAGGCATTATGCAGCGCCTGCTCAGGGTCGCGGG